CTCGTATCTATAACACATGTATTTTTTTTTTTTGCAATAGTAAAATAGTAAGTATTGGCACACGCAACATATCATGCATCACGATCCCATATCCAGGTGCTCCCTAGAAGAATGTGACAAAGCTATAGACGCNATTGGCACACGCAACATATTATGCATCACGATCCCATATCCAGGTGCTCCCTAGAAGAATGTGACAAAGCTATAGACGCAAACACATTACAAATTACTCTCATTAAGAATTTCAATGTTGAATGTAATCAAACATCTCTTATCAACTTTCAGCTTGATATTAGTAATTCACACCAAGGATCAAAATATCGTTTCGATGTACCATTTTGGTTTGCTAAGAAACGTAGTGGAAACGGAAAGAAAATTTGAAAACACATAGAAACATTCATTTATTTACATAGTTAAGCTTAATAATTGATTGATTGATTAAATATGTTTATTGGTCTAACATCCCTTTATACAAGATAACATTACATTAGAGAAGAAAAAAAAAGGTTAATATGAGGTGGAACTCACTTCAATTAATAGCAAAACTTCATTTTTATCAACCAAACACATTTACATTTCTATAATAACTACATCACATGACCAGATACACCATATCCATATTTTTTGGTTTTTGATCAAATAATTTACAAAAATTTATTATATAAATGCTATTACTTATTAAATTACTAACTGAAATTGTGTCATCAAATTACAAATTATTACTATTTAGTTCAAATTTTTAATTGTTGTATAAGATTATTTGAACATACAAATTACATCATAGAGTTAATTACAGATATTTAATAAAAATGCAATATGTCTAATATGACAATCATAGCAAATAATATAAAATTTGACACACAAGAAAAGAAGAACAAAGGAAAAAACAAGGGGTGGGAAGTAAAACAGGTGCCTAGAGAGAGAGAGAGAGAGAGAGAGAGAGAGAGAGAGAAGAATAAAAGAAAAAAGAAAAAATGGGAGGTGGGGATTAAAATCAGGCAGCTTTTGCTATGTAAAACAGGCATCAGAGAGGAAGAGAAGAGAATAGGAATTAGGGCAATTGGGCAAGCCTTGCCTGCCCTCAATCTGTAGATCTAAGAGAGAGAGAGATCTGACTCACTAGACCAAGAACAAGAAGGAAAGAAGTGGAGAAGAGGAAGACACAAGAAAAAGAAGAGAAAGGATGAAGAACGTACTTGGAGGCTGGATGTGCTNGAGAATAGGAATTAGGGCAATTGGGCAAGCCTTGCCCGCCCTCAATCTGTAGATCTAAGAGAGAGAGATCTGACTCACTAGACCAAGAACAAGAAGGAAAGAAGTGGAGAAGAGGAAGACACAAGAAAAAGAAGAGAAAGGATGAAGAACGTACTTGGAGGCTGGATGTGCTCAGATATGAGTTCGGGACCTTCGAGTAGGGTAAATCCTTCGTCTCTTTTCGATTTCTTCAGCATTTTCCCTCCTCTCTCTCTCCTCTCTTATTTAGTCGCTCTTTTGAAAACACATAGAAACAAAAGTAAAATTCATTTATTTACATAGTTAAGCTTAATAATTGATTGATTGATTGATTGANGGGTAAATCCTTCGTCTCTTTTCGATTTCTTCAGCATTTTCCCTCCTCTCTCTCTCCTCTCTTATTTTTTCGCTCTTTTGAAAACACATAGAAACAAAAGTAAAATTCATTTATTTACATAGTTAAGCTTAATAATTGATTGATTGATTGATTGATTAAATTTGTTTATTGGCCTAACATCCCTTTATACAAGATAACATTACATTAGAGAAGAAAAAAAAGGTTAATATGAGGTGGAAGAGGACGGTTGAAATTCAATTTCTTCACGACGGTTGTTGATACCACATAAGTGAAACTTCCAGCATCAATAACTAACGACCATTCCAATCCTTCACAATTAACTCTAGTCTGAAATATTTTCCATCTATGAATAAGCTTGCCATTAACAACTTCTTTACTAGCGTGAAACCAAGGACGAATAACACCCATCAAATGATCATCATTCAAATCATCAAAATTAACCTCACCAACTTCAAGAGGTTCTACAATTCTTGTTTCAAATTCTGGCTCATTAAACTCATTATTCACCTTGAAATTTTCTTTTTAACCACAGAAATAGATGTTGTAGGTCATTGAAAAAACAAGTGACCAAAACCATGACAATTAAAGCATCTTGTTTTACAATTAGTAGAAGTAGCACTAGCCCGAGATGGCTTATTCGGAATAAAAGTACTTTCTTGAATTTAATTAATGGCCTTACCTTGACTTGCATCTACGACAATTCTCTCAATTCAAGTTGTAGGTGCTATAGAAAATTTCATAGAAGCTCTATTTCACAACTCATCTTTCATCTAATAGGCAACCTAAATTGCATTTGTCATGATGTAAAGATGACTTGCATCTAAACCTAAAAATATTTGTGAATGAAGTCCTCGCCTATACATAGCAATCATCACATCCTCAATCTATGGTTACTCTAATCAAATTGTCAAACTATAGAATTTTCTTGTATAATTCTCAACAGACATGCTTCCCTAATTCAACTCTCGTTGCTTGTAATTAATAGGCACAAAGTAAAAAGTTATAACAGTCTTCATGTCATCCAATGACCAATCAAAGTGTATTTGTTGGTAGTTTACCCACCAAAGTGTAGCTACACTCTTTTAACCCATTTATCAAAATCAAACAATCTTGAATCTTCCCAGGGAAATCTCTAACCTCTAACTTAACCCATTTATCAAAATCAAACATTCTTGAATCTTCTCGAACTAAGTCATGTGATGGANTAGGGAAATCTCCAACCTCTAACTTAACCCATTTATCAAAATCAAACAATCTTGAATCTTCTCGAATTAAGTCATGTGATGGAGGGACAAGGAGGAACTGTGATTTGATTCATCTAAACTCTGTNGAAGAAATAAGTTATTGTTAAGTATATTGATGCGATGAAGGATATGTATAAAAATGTGTTGACCTTACTGAGAACAATGGTAATAGAAACTAATGAATTTTCAGTCGTTGTAGGCTCACATTGGGATTTTACTTTGAGTGAACCTCTTTTTGCATTGATTATGGAAGAATTGCCTAGGCATAGGCATATTTAGAATGAGCTCCTATGAGGTACGTTATTTGCGAATTATATAATATTTGTTGATGGAAGTAAAGAAAGAATTAATAATAAATTAAAAATATGGTGAAAAGCTCTAGAATCAAAAGTATTTAAGATAAGTAAGACTAAAACTAATTATACTGAATCTAAATTTAGTTAAAAGAGGAATCTAAATTTAAAAATAGTAAAAATTGAAGATCAAGAGATACCGAAAAGTTAACACCTAAAATATTTTAAGGTTTATTATTCATAGAGAGTATGAGATTGGGAACGATGTTACGAGGAATTTGGCCAAGGAGGGGCTGGCAGCTGATTAGCTAGTTGATGNTTAAAATATTTTAAGGTTTATTATTCATAGAGAGTATGAGATTGGGGACGATGTTACGAGGAATTTGGCCAAGGAGGGGCTGGCAGCTGATTAGCTAGTTGATGAGGAAATAGCTTATCAAGGTGATGATCAATAGCTGGTCTAAGAGGATGATTAGCCACACTAAAACTGAAACATGGCCTACACTCCTATGGGAGGCAGTAGTTGGGAATTTTCTGCAATGGGCGAAAGTCTGACAAACAAATGTCGCGTGGAAGTAGAAGGCCCACAAATNGACTCCTATGGGAGGCAGCAGTTGGGAATTTTCTGCAATGGGCGAAAGTCTGACAAACAAATGTCGCGTGGAAGTAGAAGGCCCACAAATCGGGAACACGTCTTTTCCCTGAGAAGAACCAATGACAATATCTGGGGAATAAACTTCAGCTCTAGAATTAATATAAGATGGACTAAATACACAAACCCCTTAAGTTAAAAGGAAAGTTTTATAAAATNCACTCCTATGGGAGGCAGTAGTTGGGAATTTTCTGCAATGGGCGAAAGTCTGACAAACAAATGTCGCGTGGAAGTAGAAGGCCCACAAATCGGGAACATGTCTTTTCCCTGAGAAGAACCAATGACAGTATCTGGGGAATAAACTTCAGCTCTAGAATTGATATAAGATGGACTAAATACACAAACCCCTTAAGTTAAAAGGAAAGTTTTATAAAATGATCATAAGATCTGCTATGCTTTATGATAGTGTTGAGCAGCAAAGAAACTAAATGTTCAAAAAATTGAGTGTAACAGGAATGAAAATGTTAAGACAGATGTGTGATAAAACTGGGAATGTAGAATTAGGAAGAATTATATCTGTGAAAAAGTAGAGGCATCACCTACAGGAGATAAATTAAGAAATAATCAACTTAGGTAGTTTATAAATATTTATAGACGGTCTATTACTNTATGTTCAAAAAATTGAGTGTAACAGGAATGAAAATGTTAAGACAGATGTGTCATAAAACTGGGAATGTAGAATTAGGAAGAATTATATCTGTGAAAAAGTAGAGGCATCACCTACAGGAGATAAATTAAGAAATAATCAACTTAGGTAGTTTATAAATATTTATAGACGGTCTATTACTTCATCGATGAGACAGAGGGATGTGATAACTATTGACGGTAAAATATGGATAGAGGAAGAAACTTCAAATGAAAAAATAAATAATGATAACTTATGGTTTAAAAGAGGATTCATTTAGCCGACCCCTAAAATATTGAGATAAGGTTGTCGAGTTAGGTTGCATAGAGCGTTGGAGCTTTGTGATCTTAACATTTATCATCATAAATGGAATGATTAAGAACATTTTCTCAAAATTGAAATTCCCAAAAAGGAACTTCTGTTTTAATGGAATGGGATGCAAGTCAAAATCCAATGTCAATTTAAAAGACAGTACTGCATGACTACATCAAACGAAAGACATGGCAGGAAAGCAATTTGACATCTCTATAAACACATTTATTCCATATTGTGACGAATGTCCACTTTACACAACGAAGCAACAAGCAACTAAAGCCTAACTACTGGAAAACTCACCAAATTGCTGCTTGACCTCAGGACTGCTAAGATCGAAATTTTTTAAGGAATCCATCATACGGTTATCCCATTCAGTGCTTCCCCCCATGTTACTTCTGAAAAAGGAAAAGGAACAAAAAGGTAAATAAAGAAATATGAATATACATTCTCATTGATTATCAAGGCGACAAACATACAAAAACTGCAGTCTGACAAAAATAACAGACAAGAATGTAGCAGAAAACATCAGAGCACACAAGAAAAGTCAAGCAGTACAAATGCAGTTCAGATCTTTAAAGCTGATATTTGGAGTAGATATCATACAACCAGTAACAAGAAAATATATTGCAGACAAGATTCTGAATTGCTGTTAGAAACATCGAGCAACAGTCCATGCCAACTCTGATTCAATTAAAGATAACACTGAGCTCACAAAATATATCAAACCAAAGAATATTCAGGTGCTTATCTCAGTAACATTTATAAATAATTCCACCTAATATACAAGATCAATTGATGCCAAATCTGTTATGATCATAAAGTAAAGAGCTCCACAATTCAAACACAATAACTATAACCACTAGTGTCGTATTTTATAGGCATCAGTTTCAAATGTCAATAACGGATTAATATCAGACACTGCATAAAATATGCAATGATGCAGGACCAATAGAAGCAGAAATATCAAAATCATTGTCAATTTACGAGGTCAAAAGCAAATGTTTCTTTACCATAATCTGAACTGCAAATTCAAAATCCAAATGCAAATCAATAAACAGATACATATGACTAGCGCTATGTGCCATGGAGTTAGACACTTAGACATTAAATACCAACAATTAGGAAAGAGAGACTTACAACATATCTTGCAGCTGTTGTCGATATTGCGGATTCTGTAGCATCCCTGTCACCAAATATGCAAACAGCATTTCAGCATTGCTAACGTTGAAGACTTAATATATCTTTCCATTGTGCACTAGTATACAATGAAACAGTAGTATATAGCGGTTATTCAATTCACATGAATTATATAATGACGATGACTACATCAAGGTGCCCATGAATACAATGGCTTGCAATATCAAGTAAACAAACGCTGAAGGAACAAGTCAAAAGTGATCAGATGTTGCATGCATTAAGAAGTTCTGATCATCTTGGAAATCTGTTTGTCAAACATCATATTGGCATAAACAAGTAGAGTTTACCAACAAGAAAACACAAGTAGTTTGTTGAGTACCAATATGTAATATAAAATATTATATGGCTATAGATAATTCCAAATTAAAGTACAAATCTAGCATATAGGTAATTCTTGGGCTGAAAGTTACGTACAATTAACATTTGTGCTCCATAATTTTTTTTATTATTGAGTAATTTTTATTTGAGACTTGTTAGGCATTTAAGACTTTTATTTTGATTTGTGCTTCAAGTAGGAAGTTATTTTATCGCTCTCTAGTATAGTATTTTTAAAATTTTAAGCCTTTAAATATATAGTCTTTTTTTATGATTTTACCATCACTTTTTTATTCACCATATTAATTGATGGGTTGTTGTGGGTCCCAATTTTCGTTGAAACACGTACAACAAAATACAAAATAAATGTTAATTAAATGATAGCTTATACATATATAAATAAAATAAGTGTGTGCAAACTATTATAGGTTTAAAACAACTAGTAAATTGATTATGTGTCTAATGTAAAACTATATATAATTCTTTGTAATAATAAAAACGATCCGAATATGAATCGAAAGCGAACCGCGACCCAAAATAGCGTACCAACTAAGCCTAACCCCACTACACCGCGCACCAAGGAAAGTAACGTACCCCGCATCCGTACCCGTACCACGTACCCAACCGACCCGTGATCCAGGTAACCCTGGTGCTGATGGCTGCTGGTAAAATGTTGACAGAACATAAAACCTAGTTTTAGCTTTTCAAGAGGGATAAGTGTCAAAGAATATGGACTCACATTTAAAGGTATCAGGATTCCTCATCTCCTCTGGTAGATAGCTGCAAGGATACAAAATAAATTACAAACCCATAAGAATCACAAGAAATTTAACACTACAGCAATTTCAAACTACTGCGAAATAGTAACCAAGATAACAATCCAAAGATGGACAAAAAAGAGAAACAAAGAGATAATATCAAACAAGAAGTCTTTGTGTGCGCCTGTGCATGTGTGCCAAGCAAAGTATGAGAAATGATCAACTAATAATTTGGGTTGGACAGCAATAAAAGGTCCTAATAAGTAGACATGGTGGTTTAATGGTTAAAAATAACATTGAGGTGTAGCATTAAAATTATATTGTGGGTGATGTAAACAAACCTGTCACCAAATATTTATTCTGGTCGACATTTTTTGATGTATCGTAGCTATCTCTAAATGATTGGAGGAACTGATTGGGTTTGCCCAATAGGATTTTGAATGCAATTTCTGGAATAGGATTTTGAATGCAAAACAAAGGATCCATAAGCTTGAATTTATGGACCTTTAAAGGCTTAACAGCCCGGAACTCGGAAGAAAACACTCTAGGATAATCCTAGTCTCCCATACAAAAATGCATCATCCACTGAAACACTGGCACAAATCTGGAAAACAGAAAGTAAAGGACTGTGTACTAAAATCTACATAAACTGTGATGCCCCAAAATTCGGGTGTCCTTAATTACCCCATTGATCACCCATCAACCCGCAGAATACCCGTGAATACCGTGTAACTCGATACTACGCCGTCATATCCCATTTACTGGAATCCATAACTTAACAAAATTCAGGCAAAATCTCATTTGTACGGAGAGCTCTATCCAAAACACAATTTGTAGAATCATACAACATTGACCTCACCAAGTCAATCTATCCATACTCATATAACAACATGCAACTTTACATTAAAAATAATTTATATGAATTCGATTACAATCCTTTCCATACATTACATGCCCAAAAACTAATTGACATCTTAGTGTTACAAAAACATAGTTTAAAATCCACATTTCGACTTTTCTTCATCAATGAGGGCCCGAATGAGAGCCGTCCACCGGCACATGCCCCGCACGTGAAATATTGTCCCTTTAAAGGGTGAGTCACGCTCAATAGGGTATCTCCTAAAGAGGCTACTCCCCAACCTAGATGCATATAAAATGCTCACATGCAATTTACAAGCAACAATTACTTCATTCAAGAATATGCAATTTAACAATGGAATCTTCAATGTCATGCCATGATATGAGATGAGACTCACACATACAACTCAATCCGAGCCTTTACCAGCTCCCTCAACATATGAAATTTCATGCATGAATCTGGACAATTCAAGTCCCCGCCATTGATGTTATATGTCATGAGCACATATGAACAATTCAACATCCAACCACCCTTTTTTCATGGTAAATTACATCATAAGCATATAACCACCATAACAACCTCAATGTCAATATATCATATAGGGGTGTTCAAATTTCTGATTGGCCGCAATTTCCTACCCTATCTGATCCTACCCTACCTTAATGAACAACTAGCCGCAAAAATCGAGTAGAAATGCAGAAGAGTTTTTGGTCTTCTGATTAAATCGAATAAGAATGTGGAATACNCGCAATTTCCTACCCTATCTGATCCTACTCTACCTTAATGAACAACTAGCCGCAAAAATCGAGTAGAAATGCAGAAGAGTTTTTGGTCTTCTGATTAAATCGAATAAGAATGTGAAATACCCATTAATTTTCGCATTCCTACCCTTCCCTCAAAAAATATATTAAACTTTTTTCATAATTTTTTTAGTAATTATATGAGTATTTGTGCAGTATAATTTACATTATAACATTGTTATTGTTGTGAATATTTNGAATACTCATTAATTTTCGCATTTCTACCCTTCCCCCAAAAAATATATTAAACTTTTTTCATAATTTTTTTAGTAATTATATGAGTATTTGTGCAGTATAATTTACATTATAACATTGTTATTGTTGTGAATATTTGAATTACTAAAATATGAACTTGTTTTTTGTGCAGGTTAAATTATTTGTGGTAAACTGGTGGTCTATTGGAGCAATTATGATTTTAATGTGTTTCGTATATAATTTAAACTTAAAATAATTGTTATTGTATTTGTGTAACAATTATGATGAATTGATGTTCATGTTTTCTTGTGTTTTATTATAATTGTTGTTGCAGTTGTTTTAAATTTTAGTGTTATTGATTTATTGTCTTGTTAAATTAGTGAATGTTATTTAATTGAATTGTTAAAATGATCCAAAAATTAATAGTTACAAAAATGTTTACCCAACTTCCTACCCAATTAATCGGNTATAATTGTTGTTGCAGTTGTTTTAAATTTTAGTGTTATTGATTTATTGTGTTGTTAAATTAGTGAATGTTATTTAATTGAATTGTTAAAATGATCCAAAAATTAATAGTTACAAAAATGTTTACCCAACTTCCTACCCAATTAATCGAGTAGGAGGTCAGGTAGGAATACACACCTGATCGGGTAGGGTAGGCCATGAAAAAATTATACATATTTATATATATATATATAAAAACGTGAGGGGTGTAATATATATACTATGTATATACCTGTATATATATATTTTAAACTTTGGTTTATTGAATTTTTTTTTATGAAATTGTCAATCTAAAAATAACTTTTTTATATTTNAGTAGGAGGTCAGGTAGGAATACACACCTGATCGGGTAGGGTAGGCCATGAAAAAATTATACATATTTATATATATATATAAAAACGTGAGGGGTGTATATATATATACTATGTATATACCTGTATATATATATTTTAAATTTTGGTTTATTGAATTTTTTTTTATGAAATTGTCAATCTAAAAATAACTTTTTTATATTTATTTATTAATGTTTGAATTACTATTCAAATATATATTTAAACTGTCCAAACAGGTTTTACTATTTTCTGAATTGTAAAATTATTTTTGAAATCATCTAACCAAACAAGTTTTTTATGTCAAAATTTCAAAACCATTTTCTTAAAATTTTTCTCAAAAACTGTTTTCGGATACTATTTTTTGAAACGCAAACCAAAGAAGCTCCATATTTCCTACCCGTAGGGTAGGGTGAACACCCCTAATATCATAGACATATACCAACACCTACCAACATCAAAATCCAAGCATGTTATAACATAATCAATGCAAATAACNGTCAAAAAATTTCAAAACCATTTTCTTAATATTTTTCTCAAAAACTGTTTTCGGATACTATTTTTTGAAACGCAAACCAAACAAGCTCCATATTTCCTACCCGTAGGGTAGGGTGAACACCCCTAATATCATAGACATATACCAACACCTACCAACATCAAAATCCAAGCATGTTATAACATAATCAATGCAAATAACACACTTAATCCAAAGAGGCATTTAATCAAACACCTTCAAAACACAAAATCATGTAAACACATAATATGCTCAATTTTATCACATATCTCAAGAAATCACGAGTAATTTTTACATACCCAATTCATGCTAGAATTGATTTTAGCCGTTCTTAATTCTCATTTTCCGCATTTCAAATACCTACATTTTTCATGAATTTACCAAACAAGTNAACACAAAATCATGTAAACACATAATATGCTCAATTTCATCACATATCTCAAGAAATCACGAGTAATTTTTACATACCCAATTCATGCTAGAATTGATTTTAGCCGTTCTTAATTCTCATTTTCTGCATTTCAAATACCTACATTTTTCATGAATTTACCAAACAAGTAAATTCTACAAACTCAATTCATACAAGATNCGCATTTCAAATACCTACATTTTTCATGAATTTACCAAACAAGTAAATTCTACAAACACAATTCATACAAGATTGGTTTAGCATATTTCTATATCTATTTTTTACACTTTTTTTGCACTAGGA